TAAAGGGTTTGTACTGTAGACCTCCTCAGGGGCCAGTCTAAAGGGTTCGTACTGTAGATCTCCTCAGTGGCCAGTCTAAAGGGTTTGTACTGTAGACCTCCTCAGGAGCCAGTCTAAGGAGTTCATACTGTAGACCTCCTCAAGGGCCAGTCTAAAGGGTTCGTACTGTAGACCACCTCAGGAGCCAATCTAAAGGGTTCATACTGTAGACCTCCTCAGGGGCCAGTCTAAAGGGTTTGTACTGTAGACCTCCTTAGGGGCCAGTCTAAAGGGATTGTGCTGTAGACTTCCTCAGGAGCCAGTCTAAAGGGTTCGTACTGTAGACCTCCTCAGGGGCCAGTCTAAAGGGTTTGTACTGTAGACCTCCTCAGGGGCCAGTCTAAAGGGTTTGTACTGTAGATCTCCTCAGGGGCCAGTCTAAAGGGTTCATACTGTAGACCTCCTCAGGGGCCAGTCTAAAGGGTTCGTACTGTAGACCTCCTCAGGGGCCAGTCTAAAGGGTTTGTGCTGTAGACCTCCTCAGGAGCCAGTCTAAAGGGTTCGTACTGTAGACCTCCTCAGGAGCCATTCTGAAGGGTTTGTACTGTAGACCACCCCAGGAGCCAGTCTAAAGGGTTCGTACTGTAGACCTCCTCAGGAGCCATTCTGAAGGGGTCGTACTGTAGACCTCCTCAGGGGGCATTCTAAAGGTACTGTTGACCTCCTCAGGAGCCATTTTGAAGGGTTCGTACTGTAGACCACCTCAGGAGCCAATCTAAAGGGTTTGTACTGTAGACCTCCTCAGGGGCCAATCTAAAGGGTTTGTACTGTAGACCTCCTCAGGGGCCAGTCTAAAGGGTTCGTGCTGTAGAGCTCCTCAGGAGCCAGTCTGAAGGGTTCGTACTGTAGACCTCCTCAGGGGCCAGTCTAAAGGGTTTGTACTGTAGACTCCTCAGGGGCCAGTCTAAAGGGTTCATACAGTAGTAGAGTTTTTATTATTATTAAAATGATGTATTTTATTTTTCCTTGTATTTATCATTTGTCCTCCCCTTCCCCTGAGTGGGCCTGAATGCGGCCTGTGGGCTGCTGGTTCATGATCTCTTCTATAGAAGGAGAATCATTAACGAATGAGTTTTTAAAACGTCACATTAAATCCAGAGGAGGCAGATTTTTGTGGATGTAATCTTGACGGCAGAAGTAGAAGAACGTTTCGGGATAATTACGGCGGTCAGCGGGGATTACCGGAGAGGAATCGATAGCAATCAGCCCGGCTCTAATCACTCTTTTAGCTGCACTTTTAGGTATACTGTAATTTGGCTTTAAGGTCCCTCTTGGCTTCGTGCTATTAATCTTCTGGATTAGAGCGTTCAGTGTGTCCAATTCTTCAAACCGCTTTCTGAATTCAACCATTTAAAATAAATTATATCTCTGTATTTAGGGTCGTTTTATTTCCTGTCTGCTGATCGGACGACCAAAGTGGTTTTTCATATTTTCTTTTTTTTACTTCTCCTGTGTTTCCAAACGGATCATTTAATGTATTTTCAGGATATTTTCTGGTTTGATTCTTCAGTCGTGTTGAGTTCTTTTTGTTAAATGAATTGGAGTTGCTCTGATCTTTTCCTTTTAGTGGCCTCTGATTATTTTTAAACAGCTGACCTCCCCTCTGAGAGGAGCTGAAGCCACCAGCTGAGTCATGATGCGTTCACTGACTGGAAAAATAATAGGACATCAGCTGCCCACTGAATGAGTCATACATCGTGCTAAACACCTGAGAAATTATTAATTTGTGGCTTTTTTTTAACCGCAGGTTCTTTTGGGGATCTGGACGGCGGTGAGGAGACCACGGCCGACACCCTGAGCCTATCAGGAGAGGAGGGCGGCGCCTCTGACCCGGAGGATTCTGCAGAAGGTGACAGCTCCAGCCCGCCACCGTACACACCGCTGTACAACGACGGTAAGACTAGGGAACTCCACCTGCAGCTGGAGCTACGAGCTCAAGAATCACCGTTTACTCCGGTTCTGTAGGGTTTCAGTTGAAGTAAGATTCTGCAGTTCGAATAAATAAAACATTAAATATGAACTAAGAGTCAGAGCAGAAAAGTCGGGCAGATTGTTGAGAATGATTATTTATCTTCAGCGAGGGTTTAGATCTGGATGTTTGGGTCTGTGGCCTCAGAGGTTTCTGTCAGAGGAGCTCCTGCTGTCAGAATACAGATGTGGGGCTCGCAAATGAGAGGAAACTAAACTGAGACAGAACTGAGATGAGTTCAAGACACCTGCAAAAACCTGACACAGGTCCGAGACACCTGCAACGACCCTTTTAAGAAAATTTAAGAAAATGTTTGAAAATGTTCACATTTCACGCGTCAAGACTGCGAGACTCGAGTGAGGAAACTGAACCCCTCAAACAGGACTGTTGTTCTTTAAGCAGTCAGTCCTGAGCCCAGGTTCATACTGGTCTTCATAAAGAACAGCACCTGTCACAAAGCTGTAGCTCATCAGGATATCTGAGTGAACTTAACTTGTGTTTAATCAAATCAGAAGGCTCAGCTGCTTAATCGTTTTATTTTAGTTTGTCTGCAGCAGAAGCTGCTCCTTCAGTGAAATTGTGCACACGTGTGCGTTGCTGTCAGTTATTAGTGGTTATTACCAGCTTTATCTCCACATCAAGACTTTGTTCAATCAACTGACGTGTACCGGTTATCAGTCAGGAGACGCTTAACGTCACGCCGAGGGAAAGAAAATGGCTTCAGCATCTTTCAGAGGCCGCAGCTTTCTGCATGTGTCGTTCTTTTATCTCCAGTGTGTCTAAAAACACAGAAAACACAACGAGGAAAAGCATTTCTGTGGCCCGGATCGAGTAATGCACCCCCAACCATCTCCGGCTGTGTGATAGCAGAGTTTTCACTCATATTCTTTGACTTATTCAAGATTTCACCAGCTGTGTGTGTGTGTGTGTGTGTGTGTGTGTGTTTATCAGAAAAATTCCTGCTCTTGTGAAATTTTGGGGGCTGAGGGTGATAAGCGTCTGCTGGTTGGCTTGGTTTTGATAAACCCATGGAAATTCTGTCAGGTGCTAATCGAGACGAGATTAGAGATAGCTCGTGGTGTGTGTGTGTGTGTGTGTGTGTGTGTGTGTGTGTGTGTGTGTGTG